ATTGTTAAATATTTAAGTGTTGTGAATGAAAATATAAAAATTTACGAGTGAGATATGTAAATACATAAGAATTTTGTGCTATTATGCAGATGCTCTTATGAAAAATCATAATGTTTGCACATCTGGATAGTAGCTCGAATTCGGCCACACCGTTGTGCATTGGCATTTGGGTTATTCGGACCATTATGTGAACGTACATAGACCACACACAATGTTAATTTTCTACTCAAATACAGCACTTAGATGTCACCCACAATAAGAGTACACAACCAACTAGTTTTGTTGAATTCAAAAAAATCAACATTAACTAATAGACTACATCCATAAAGCACTCAAGCAACTAAATGTTAGCTCAAAATTTTAATTTTGATTTCTTTTCTTAATTCTCTTTCTTGCCACTAATAAACTCTTCGTAAAACATTAATATATCACAGTAAAATAATCAGTTATTTCATCAACAAAAGCCAGTCACAAAGAAGCCAATAAAGCTGAAAACTCATTCAAGCACACCAATGTTTCCTCACAGGGAATGTACTGCCCTGTGCTTCCATTTCCAGAAACCCAATATCATAAAGTGCCAGCCCTTTTAAAGATTTCCTTCAGCCTATCTTTTTTATTTTTACCCAAGGAGAAACTGTTCCCAGCTGTAGGAAAACAGTAGCAGATGTCCAAAATTGAGTGGGATGTGAACAGTATTAAGCAGGAATGTACTCTCCCTGCAGTCATATTATATGATAGCAGTTGCTTAACTTAACCTGCTTAGAACTTCTTGAACTCATCAATGGAGATCTCATTAATAGCAGCAGTAGAATAGCAGCAGTAGAAGAAGATTTATACCATAAGCCTGCAGCTTTCATAATATCTCTGGCTTATACTTGCTTGCATTAATCACCACACCCAGTCATTGGATCAGCTTCTTCTGCCCATTCCAAACTGGTATTTAATGTAGTACCATGTAAGTTAAGAGAATGCTTCTGTCCTAAAGTATTTGGCATTAAATTAATTTTACGTTATGTTATCATACTTTTAATTTTGAAATGTTTTATCTTTAAAAATGAATTTGTAACTATTAGATGAATTTATTATAAGATGATAGGGGCTGGAAGATGTTACTTCTTTTGTAATTTGGAAGTGGGGGCCACCAGGGTTATAGAGCTACTATTTAAAAAGAATTGTGTGGACCCATCTAAGTAAATTCAAGGAACATTACCAAAAGATTGATGTGAAGGGTTTTATTTTTGGGGACATTTACAATTTTACATAAATATCACTTAATTCTTATATATTTCCATATTTAAAGCCTAAACTTTACCTTTCTTGATTTATATCACCTAAATTTTTTAATTTCACATCAGAAGTAACAGTATTTAACTTTTAGAAAGTGAAATGCAACTTTTTCAGATAGTAAATAAGGTGGCATAGATATGTAAATACATAAGAAATGAGTGCTATGTATGTAAATCTACCTTATTTTTGTTTAAGGATTAGAGAGAAATATCTGAAGTTGCAAAAATATCAAATTCATACCTTATTTTTTTTTAGGGATTAGGGAGAAATATCTGAAGTTGCAAAAATATCAAATTCATGATGTTGTCTTAGGTGGTGGTGAAAGTACTGATTACCACAAATGCAACATGCAAGACTTAGAATTAAGGGAAGCTTTTCTTAAGCCAATATATCTCAAGACAACTTTCCAAATCTAGTTTACTCCCCTTCTAAGGAAGAAAACATCAAATTTTATGTAATCAAGAAATTGAAGAATTTTAATTACACATTTTCTTAAATTTTTTTAGCAGCTAGACTTGGCAAACTTTCTGCTGTCTGACATAGTTAATATGCAATAACTCATTAAAATTTCAACCGAATTTACTACTCCATGCATTGTTTTGCATCAAAGCAACAAAAACCAACATCAAATTCTGTGAAGAAAAAGCTAATTCATACCCAACAAGCCCTCAATTTTCATAAAATGTTATGTCTTATGAATTGAATGTGCGAATGACAACATGGATCACCAGATGTTATATGTTTAACAGTGAAGTATGATCCATATCGTTGTTGGCATATCCATCATCCGGATGTAATTTTTTCTCCTCTAACTTCAGGCAAATCGACAAGACTAACGTAAAGCTCTATACCGGAGACCACCAATAGCCAATAAATGCAGAGAAGTTGGACACAGCTCAATTTATTATGCATTATGAACCCAACTGCGCATGCTCAACTTTGTCCCACCATTTCCTGCTTATATATATTCTCAGTCAATCTACAGCTAAAACTGCTTCACGTACATTCTGGGACATTGATAAGTAACCAGGTCTGTGTGACCGTAGGACTTTGTTTATTATTATTATTATTTTATGATATTTATCTACTTGGAAGTTAGCTAGCATAGATTACTGGGAAGCAAGCTCCGCTTCTCTAGTCAAAGAAGATAGGACCTGAAACAATTGCAGGGGCCATGGATGGGCCTAGGGAGAGCAGAAGGACCAGACTCTTATTAAATTATCTTCATTGTTTGGTATGAAGCAGCACAGAAGTTTACCTTGAAGGTGAATGAGCTAAATGCACGTGGAGCCTATGGTTGGATAGACACCAGAGAGTTGCTTTTAAAATGAATATAATCAGGTCTTCTTCTTTGGGGAGAAGTTTGAGGGTCGTGCTTTGCCAGTTTCATTTCTCAGACAAATGAAGTACAAAATTATTACATCTGTGACCATAAAACTGGAAGGAAAAAAAAAAAAGTTTGCAAGAAAATGACTAAGCGATGCAAGTAAGAGTTTGTAGCGATCCAGTACATCAACCACGGGTAAGCCGAGTTGATGCAATAGTCTATTCCATAGTAAGGTCCACTTGATAAAAGACCAATTTTCTCAAATCATCTTCTGCTTCAACAGAGACCAAAAAACTTCTTGCCAGAGACTGAAGATAGCGGACCTAGATCAGCCGGCCAAATAACTCGATGGAGCCAAACACACTATGCTTTGTTGGTCGAATCAAAAAGCAACGAAAGTTTTTTTATGTTCAATTAATTATTACACTTTTCCTACGAGATCGATACGCGATACTCTATAACTATATTATTACTTGACATGTATACTTACATTGTGTGGCCGATTTACTTTGCCGTAAGTTTTGACACATAAAATTTTTGGTTTCGTTGCCGGGAAAAGTCGTTAATAATTATTTCTAGTGTTAGGAAAACTTAAGTTGAAATTTTAGGATTTAAGTTCGACACTTTTTTATTTCTTGTTTATATTTTTATTTCTTATTTCTGTTGTTGCATCTATTATTTTCTTTGCAGGTGGTGAAAATTTAAAAATAGACTAAAAAAATGAGAACAAGTAACAAAAACCAAAGAATTTTGTTGTTAATTTAATTTCTGATTTCTTTTGTTTTTTGTTTTTTTTGCATACTATGTGTAGCATTTGCATGTGAAATTGTTGACTGACTTTTGTGTGCCAGTGTGATTGTGTGTTGCTTATTTTAGATTTTTATTTATGCCCAGAGAAGTTGAGGCTGACCTTGTGCCTTTCAACCCTGAGATCGAGCGCACTCTTAGACGTTTTAGGAAATCACACTTGCTTCCTGAAACAGCTATTGATA